GTATCAAGGTGGATGGTGACTATGTTTAGTTGGCTGCCGTTATAGTTTATAGACACACACGTTCATTGAACGTCCACTTGTTTCTACACAACAGTGTGGGTGTTGTTGGTGGGTTTTGCAGTCTGGTACACGACTTAATCAGTGAGTTCATTGCTTAAAATAATCATCTACGGAATAAGCCGTGGTGTGAGATAGTGTCATGATACCTGTAAATCTGTAAACATCTTTAGTCTTCGCACCATGCATTGCACAATGACTCATGCGTATCTGTCAAATTAGCAGTCAATAGCAACAATGCAGTGGCTGCGCATTACAGTGTAGGTTCTATGTTCCGTTGTTTGTTAGTCGACGTTGCTAGATTTCCTGTTTTTAAGGTCCCATTCATTTCGACATATTTAATTTGAGTTTAGTTCATCTTAGCTGTGTGCATAATCTAAGTCCTGTGCATTTATTGGTCGAGCTAGGATTCGTAGACTTTTCAAAATATGTTTCGAAGTTTTATACCTAGCAAATGATGACCATTTGACAATGTTGTATGAGAGAACTCTGGTGCAAATGCTAGTCTTTAAGAGAGGGCGTTTTTTCAGCAAATAAAGCCACACCAAAAATGCAATGACATAAATATATACCTTATACATGTATCTTAGGAAGTGTGTGATTGAACCAACATAGGCATGTTCGTACAGCAATAGTCTTCCTATAGTAAAGTCTCGAACCGTAGACATGAAGTATAGCTCTGTCCGTGATAAGCTCAAAAAACCCATTAAACTGGTGTTCCCGCAGTAACGTCTTCAAGCAGAGATTATTTTCTAGTTTCGTGTTGGACAAGCTACTGAGGTTAATCAAGGATGCGGATAGCTTACCGGCTCATTTTGCAAACACACATCGCATGAGTACATAAGATGTGCTCATCGCAAGTTTCGGACGAGCATCGTGAGCACCAGTGGGGTCGTTGGAAGCGGCGCGGGTAAGCATTATGAGCATCAGCAGTTTCTGTGGGTTGCCCCGAAAAACAAAAACCATTCGGTATCATGGAAACTGTTGGTAAAACCAACACTTTCCATGATTGGCTCACGGAAAATGTTGGTAAAACCAACAATTCCAGCAATTTCCATGAATTTCGAGAAACCTCGTGAGCCAGAGCCATCATAGTTGGGAAATCATGAAAATTGTTGGAAATGTTGGTGAAACCAACAATTTCCATCATTTGTCTGTGGGAAATCATGGAAAATGTTGGTGACTCCAAACAATTTCTGTGAATTTCGAGAAACCTCTTGAGCCTTGGACATGCTGGTAAAACCAACAATTCCAACAATTTCCATGAATTTCGCGAAACCTCGTGAGCCAGAGCCATCATAGTTGGGAAAATCATGAAAATTGTTGGAAATGTTGGTGAAACCAACAATTTCCATCATTTGTCTGTGGGAAATCATGGAAAATGTTGGTGACTCCAACAATTTCTGTGAATTTCGAGAAACCTCTTGAGCCTGAGTCATAGTTTGGAAAAGCATGGAAATTGTTAGAAATGTTAGTAAAACCAACAATTTCCATGATTTGTCTGTGGGAAATCGTGGAAAATGTTGGTAACACCAGCAATTTCCGTGAATTTCGAGAAACATCTTGAGCCTGAGTCATAGTTTGGAAAAGCATGGAGCTTGTTGGACATGCTGGTAACACCAACAATTCCAACAATTTCCATGAATTTCGCGAAACATCTTGAGCCATAAGCATAGTTTGCAAAATCATGGAAGTCGTGGAACATGTTAGTTTTACCAACATGTCCAACAGTTTCCATGAATCTGGAGAAACCCTAAAAGCAAAAACCATCGCAAACCGAACTTAGAAACATCCAGTCAAGCATAAACTTAGAAGCCTCGGGAGCCAGAAGTTTTTTGAACAAACATTTGCTTTCTCAGAGACGCAGCCACAAAGGGACACGAACACATTTTAAGGACAAGGAGGCTCACTTGAACAGGAGACAACCTAGGTACCGGGGGGGGGTACCATATATATGTATACATATATATATATATGCATAATATAGGGCCTAACCAATGAGTACAATTCTCCCCCGCCAGGGTTCGCAGCTAAATAGTTATCGTACGTTCTATCTAGTAGAGTAGAAGCGCCACAACAGCCAATCCGATTGCTAAGGGCCCCTACATTACGCAGTTCTGGCATTTCGGGTTAGACGCTGAGCTCTGAAGCCTCAAACTCGCTTAGGTTTTAGGGTTTTGGCGCTCGGACTGTGACGCCAACATAGAGAATCCCTCACAGCGGTTTCGGGCTTAGTAGAGCTGTCTGAACAATTTCATACGAAGCAATATCCCTTGCTAGACACTATAGTCAGGCTGAATTTTGCTTTAGACCTAGTCACGAAGGCTCCAGTTTGTGTGTTTGTGTGTGTGTGTGTGTACGTGTGCGTACGGGTGCAGGTGCGGGTGCGGGTGAGGTTGCATGTGCGGGTGCAGGTGCATGTGTGGGTGCGGGTGACGGTGCGGCTGCGGGTGTGGGTGGGTGTGGGTGTGTGCACCGGAGATGCATTTCCTGAAGACGGTTATGAACAAAAGAAAGAATCTACCTTGTTGCGTCTCTGTTTCGAGGCAGCTATCAGTTCAAGGTGACCGCGAACGATGCAGCCGCGGTTTACATCTCGCATAAGAAGGCTCGGCTCAGAGTTGGCGTACCGGCGGACGAGGTTTGGGCCGGGACGGGGTTACAAAGTACCATAGCAAGACAGAGCTTTATCCACAGTGCCAGTACATAGTATCTGCTGAAGATGTGGATTGCTCGCATCTGTCGTCGCCGATCTTCCTCGCAATGCAGGTTCAAACTGTGTTGCTTGTCATGACAATATGCACTGCAACACCTTGGCACTGTGAATTTTATGCAGGGCATTTCCATGTCTTCGATTTCTTGTAAAATGGTCTCTTCCACCACCGGCATTCTTTCATGACGACGGTTGTGGTTCGCGCGCTTGCTGGAGATGTGGTGTTGGGGCCGCTGTTCTTCGAAGCGCCGCCCTGCGTTTCTGACATAAAGAACCGCTTGCAAGAGTCCTTGGAACTGCTACCAGGGCAGGAAGTGCTTCTGCTCCAAGATAGCGCAATCCTCTCTGACACCACGAAATTGCAGGGTGGTTCAGCAGAGGACCCCGTAGCACTAAACATGGTAACGTCGAAGCAGAGTCTGGCGGCGCTTGTTTGGGGCTTAAGTACCAAAGGACCACAGTGGTCGAAAGTGAGTGAGCAGCTGGAGCGAGGCATCGTGGCAGTGTCTTCTACCCTCTCAGCCTTTGCTGCTTTGACAGAGTCCGGCTCTGTGATCACTTGGGGTGAAGGCGAGAAGGAGGATGGGGGTGACTCTGACGGGGTACTTGGCCTTGACCAGGGTGTCCTGCAGGTGCTGGGCAACGAAGAGGCTTTCGTTGCACGGAAAACGGGCGGCGAGCTTGTAGTTTGGGGAGGTGCGGGATCTGGCGGCAAGCCCGATGCAGAAATAAGGGCTCAGCTCCGTGATGGAGTGGTGGCCATGGCGCGGACTATGCAAGCCTTCGCTGCCGTGAAAGAGAATGGAGAGGTCGTCGTTTGGGGGAATCCAGAGTTTGGAGGTGACAGTAGCTCTGCTGGAAGCTTGCGCGGCGTTGTCTCCGTAGTTGGGACTTGGGGACAGAGTCGTGGGGCCTTTGCAGCCTTGACCGACACAGGTGGAGTGGTCACCTGGGGAGATCCCGAGCTCGGTGGTGATCTGGGCTCCAAGGCAGGGCAGGTGGCAAAAGATGTGAAAAGCATTGTTGCCAGTGGCTGTTCTTTCGCGGCCTTGAAGATCACTGGTGAAGTTGTGTGCTGGGGAGATCCGGAGGGAGGTGGGGAGCCGGTCGTGTACTTTTCCGATGATGATGATTCCGGGATGGCGCAGTACTCGGTGAAGGAGAAGCTCGCTGGGGCTGTGGTTTCCATTGCCGCTTCCGATGACGTCTTCATGGCTCTCAAAGAAGGCGGTGAGGTTGTTGGCTGGGGAATGGGAGCGGACGGTGCGCACCTCGACGAAGACCTTTTGAAAGAACTGGGAAACGACGTGGTGTCCATCTCGGCCAATGTGGCCGCCTTCGCTGCATTGAAGGTGGGTGGCCGTGTTGTGACATGGGGTCCCTACACACAGCAGGGCCTGACCCAGCTGGAAAGTGGAGTTGTGAATATTCCGAGTTTCTCATGGCCAAGCATGATGTCCTTTGCCGCTTTGAAGGATAATGGCTCTCTTGTCGTTTGGAGCGGCTTGTCGATTGCCCATATTGAGGAGACCCCGCATGAGGAGTTACAAGGTGGCGTCGTGGATGTTGTGGGTAATCCCTGCGGCTACGTGGCCTTGAAGTATGCATCTGCACTGACCTCTGACGCTTAGAGCCGGACAGCCGTAACCGGCCTGTTGAACAGAGTCAGTGGACTTGAACATAGAACCCGAAGTCGTAAATATACGTGTTAAGCCAAGGACGGCAGCGACAACAGTGATTAACAGTAACAGCATACTTCTCACACCTTTTCACTCCTCTCGCACGCCTGAGCCGGCGGGGGCGGCGCAGCCGCACTCTGCCGTGCCGGGGCTTGCCAGTCTGCGCCGCGGGGCGGCCTAGCCGCATCCTGCTGCCTGGGCTTTCGATTCCTGGTTGGCTTGTTAATCCAATCACGATTTGTTGAAGGACATGGTTTCCCACAGTCATTGCTGGGCACCGGGTCTGTTGGACAAGATAGCAGCGGTCCCAACATGACTTAAACCCTTCCTTGTGACCCTACACCCCTGAATCCCCAAACCCACCGCCCCAAAAAATCCACAAGCCCTTACAGGAAGCCTGAAAGGAACCCTAAGCCCGTCTCTCTTTCGCTTCGGCTGCCAGTTCTTGCAACTTACCGGCTGTCGCAGCAACGCCGCGAGCAAGGAGGGCAAGCAGGACGGGCATTGCATCCCTTGGGCGGTTCAGGCTTCCAGAAAATGCTTGGTTCATGGGTAGTTATAACAAGTAGAGTTTTTAAGTCCCATAATCTGAGTTATAAATATATCTACACTACTTGTTATAACCCCCACTTCTAACTACCCATGAGCCTCCTAAACCCTAAACCCTAAACCCTAAACCCTAAACCCTAAACCTCCAAGTAGAGTCTCAAGGGCTTGCTTGAGGCCCTTAGGCCCGCTCAGGGGTTCTAATTTTCAGGCCGTGCCTGGCACATAGATTAGGGTTTAGGGTTTAGGGTTTAGGGTTTAGGGTTTAGGGTTGTCTGAGACTTTGCACGGTTTAGGGTTTATCCCCTAAGGGTTTACCTTAACCTACCAGAACCCACTTTTTTGTAGGTTCTTATTACAAACCCTACTATGGGATTTTTAGGGACCCTACAAAAAAGTAGGTTCTGGTAGGTTAAGGTAGGGTTGAGGGTTTAGGGTTTGGGGTTTGGGGTGTGACATTGGTTCCTGAGGACCTCAAGATGGGCAGCTGGCCATTCGAGGACCGCCTGAAGAAGGGGGTTTAGGGTTTAGGGTTTAGGGTTAAGGATTTAGGGTTTAGGGTTTAGGGTTTAGATAGAACTAGAAAGTTCCGGGTTCTATACTAGAGGCCTGGAAAATTGCCAAGATTACTCCTGCAGGTCCGTTCTAATAGGGATGCTACAGCTTTACCCCGTTTTGCTTGCAGCTTACCGCAGACTCCGATATTCACATGACTACGGAATTTCCTTCAATTTCAGCAGGAAGTCTGGAGTCGACTTAGATGGGCCGTCGTTTGGGATCCTTAAAGGGGAATCCTTCATTTGGTTTCGAGGATCTCCCGAAGACGAGGCAAGTTTGAAGTCTATGCCTGCTCGCGCTTTTCGAGTCTCCGGCTTTGCTCGTGAGGATTCCTCCTTTGCCGCTTTGGCTTGGGCGAAGTAGTTAGACCCTTCAAACCCCGATAAGAAACCTAGAAAGCTCCTGTAAATCCGCATTAAAGCCCGCAAAAACTTTTCAAACCCTTCATCACATCCTCATGCAACGAAGTGAGATGCAGAGATTTGCACGCGCACAGGGAATACTTCGACCGCGCAAGCCTTGCATCCAATACTGATTGCGGTATAGCACCAAAACCCTGTTCGAATTATCAAGTCCCCTGCACTATGCAGGTTTGGTAGTCCTTGAAACAACCCCATAAACCCTAAACCCTAAACCTCTCAAGGAACCCTTAAAGGATCCAATCCCTAAGCCCTATTGCTCTGGTCGTCTGGCAGGTTTACTTCTACGAGAAGGATGGCCAGGCTTGGCCGGCGTGGTTCATAATATAGGGGCCTTAATGATTAGAATAGGGTTTAGGGTTTAGGGCTTAGGGCCTTCATAATTACAATAGGGTTTGGGATTTACTATACCATAATTATAGTAAGGAACCCCCAAAACCCTATTCTAGTTATTAAGGCCCCTACATTACGTGGGTTTAGAGTTTGGTTTCACGGCCTTTTGAATGCCAATATACTGCTGCTTAGCGTTCCTCCTTTACCTCTACTAAACTTAGTATACCAAAACCCCCAAAACTCTGTGCTAAGTATGAAGTTGTCGCGGTTGCACAGGTGTTCAGGTGGTAGGCAGTTCCAAGTCAACACGTGTTTCACAGATTTGTTCGCAGGGTCTATTCATGCAGGGAGATGACGCTTGTCCAGACTTGTTGTGTCTTTGCTACCTGGTTTTGGCTCTACAGTTACTATGCGGAGGTGTTTGATTCTGACATTTGAAGGGCCGTAGACTGCCCTATCCAACACCCAAACCTACAGTTTCGAGCTTCTTGCACAAGAACATAGCTCAGGCGACGATGATTAGGAAGCTTCGCTTTGCGACCTCTGAAAAGACCCTACTTACGGTAGCAGCCCTTAGAAACGCTTCAGGGAACCCTAAACCCCACATAGTAGCCCTTCGGAACCCTTCAGGGAACCTCCTTTGAGCTTCAGGAACAGCTGACGCTGGAGTGGAAACCTCCCGGTGTCAGAAATTGGCAGGTCGTCCCCGGGCTGCTTTGCTGCACTGAAAGCACGCCATGAACCCCGGTGTTTAAGGCTTAGGCTTATTTATAGTACAGTATGGTAAAGTATAATACAGTATAGTATAGTAGGGTGTAGTACTATACTGGAGTTGAGGAAAAAGGGTTTAGAAGTCCAGTGTAAATAAGAGCGACAGCAGTGAAAGTGAAGCCTGACTTTCCGGTAGCAGCACCTGTCATGATTCCAACAACGGTGGTTGTAAAGATCGAACCATCACACACGTTCATGAATCTATATAGAAAATTAGTGGCAGTTTGCATATACATATGGGTGGTTGTTAAAATTATGATCCCTTTTTGGGTCCGTAATATAATACGGCACCTAACATTTAGGGTACCCCAAAAAGGGACCCTAATTTTGACAACCACCCATATGATTGCGTAGAAGCCCTCACAGAAGGCCCCTTGAGCCCTCCGAGCTGAGGTCTGCGTTTGCTCACATGGCCGTGACTGGGGCATGAGAGAGCATGAACATTGACATGTAGTAATATGTAGTATTTGGGGTTTAGGATTTAGGGTTTAGGTAGTATTTGAGGTTTAGGGTCCAGCATTCCGGGTTTGGGGTCTAGCGCATGGTGTTCCGGATTGTGGGCTTGGAGATCAGCATCTGTGGTCGGGATCTTGGTTTTTGGAATTCCGGCAGCGGAATGCGCACGTGCAGGTTCTTGCTGTTTTTCCCGCGGGGTGTTCAAGAGCACTGGCTTTAGCTTGGCTACTCGACGTCGGCTTGGGGCTTGCAGTGCAAGTTGCCATTCAGACATCCTGGAAAGTCAGACTTACTTCCCTTTCTCAGGAGCAGGGGTTCTTCTCTAGACTCTAGACGAATCCATCTTGATACGTGGCCTGGGATAGAACACGACCTCAGCCATTGTGAAGCTTTGCTTCTATCTTCCCAGGACTCGACGATGTGGATGCCCACCTCAGCGGTGGCAAAAGGCTGCATCGGAAATACTGCCATGGGTGGGCTGATGCTTGGAATGTATCGTCAATGATTGTCAGTGCCTTCTCACCTTGGGACTGGAGTGCCCTGTGACGGATGTAATGGGCGTATCAAATGAAATCCCAAAGCCTAAACCCTTTGAAACCTTGAGCGGATGCAACCAGAGCGTGTTCAGCAAAGGGACTGTAGCTGTCGGCTAACAGATGGTGACTTACACCCATCAGCTTAAATACACCTCTGCGCAGCCCTAAAAAACCCGTAGACATCCCTATAAACACGCTGGGCAACCGCTGCAAGACCCCATAATTAAGGCCCCTGGAAACCTGTTAGCAAAAATGCTATCCTGCCAAGAAGCCCTGTAAGTCAAGCCTGTTACCAAGCAGACCCCAAGAGTCCCAAAGTAAAACCCTAGAAACCCTAAAGACCTAAAGCCCCAAATCCCGGAACCAGCAAAGGAATCCCGGTCTCTTCACCATGAAAGATCTCTCCAAAGGCACGAAGATGGCCGCTTCAGCTGAAAAACGCTTCGGGTTCAGGGCTTTAGGGTTTAGGCCTTTAGAAACCCTATAAACCCTACAGGTTTAGGGTTTAGGGTCTGGGGCTGTAGGGTTTTAGGGTTTAGGCTTTTTTTGAACCCTAAACCCTAAACCCTAAAGGTTTAGGATTTAGGGTCTGGGGCTGTAGGGTTTTAGGGTTTAGGGTTTAGGGTCTTTGGTTTAGGGCGTGCAAGGGCTTGTCGGAGGTTTGAACGCAGAAAGGGGCTCCTTATTGAGGAGTCCTCATCAAGCATGCTTCCTTTTTGCGCTCTCCTCCATTTCAGAGTGTCTTGAGCTTTGCGTTTGCAAGATCTTCAACCCTAAACTCTAAGCCCTAAACCCGAATCCTAAACCCTAAACCCTAACCCTAAGCCCTCTGGCTGGGCTTAGGCTGTGTCGATTTTGTGGTTTTCGGCTCACTTCTTCGCGCGGTTTGCAAGACTTCAAGACGCACGAGCTGCCGATGCCGCAGCCAAAACTACAGAGGGTGGTTGGTCAAAACTATGGTCCGTTTTTGGGGCACCCGAAACATGATTAATTATAGGTGCCGCATTATATTGAGGATCCCAAAGGGGACCGCAATTCTGACAACTACCCAGAGTGCTTATACCTGCTGCGTTTGCCGTGCTTCCTCGATGGGTCACGCGGAGAGCTTGGTCAGCGATGCACTTCGGCATGGATCACGCGCCCAGGTGGGCTACCCACCCAACCCGGCTGACCGACTCCCAGCCAAAAAAACCTTAGTCAGTCAAGGTTAAAAAACTCTCAGTATCAGATCAAGATTTTTTTTCTGGCAATTTTCAGGTCAAAGAACTTCTCTCAGTTTGTCACCGAGCGGTGACCTGACACAAGAGGGAGTGACAGGAAGCCTATGCCTACC